TCACGTGCAAAAAGTATTCGGTAAAAATGGCGGCGTGTTTACACTTACCATGGTATTAAAAAAAAAATACCTTGCCCTCTTCATATCACAGGAAGTAGATTTGTATAAATTTAGAAAAATTGGTCACATGATAAATCACATGACAATATTTTCGTCTGCTGTTTACAAATTTAGAGCAATTTTAGCAAGAGTAAAAAAGATGGGTCGGAAAGGAAAAGAAATGGGGTCAGATGTGAAAAACATCATTGTGGAGTTAATGCAGAAAGGTTATTCTCGGAGAAAGATAAGTGAAATGTTACAGTTACAGTCATTTAGGGTATTTCGGGTCACCCCGATTTTCGGGAGTCATCGGGGTTTTTTGACACAGTTCGCGCAAAACGTAAAAGAAAAACAAAAAGCTATTGCAGTCACGTCCAGCAAGGTATGTTATATGCATTCACACAGTTACAAAGGAAAATATTGAAAATAGATGTCTTAATTTATACGTTGATTAATTGCCGTATGTTTCCTGATCAGAGAATTTTGCATGTCAACAACGGGAGACATCTTTTTTTCTTCGATGATGTGAAGTTTACGTCTGATAAAAAAATACATGTTATATACTGCTGGAAAGGAAAATTTATACGCTTTCCAATGCAACTAAACAAGTTCTGGTTGCAATAAAATCTATTGAGGTAGTGGTGTATTCCTAACCCCCTTCGGTTTAGTGTATTTCGGGTCACGTGTGTTTCTAGAGCTTCGTGTTTTGGTACGTCACATGTCAATGTTTACATTGTGCTTTTTCAATATTATCATGATTATAGCTTTTCTTTATGTAGAAAATGTGGCCCCGTGTGCTGGAAAAAGGAGGAGGTGTTGTTATACCCTGCCAATACAAAGCTAGTGTGTCCCAAAAACTTCCATGCAGCATTGACTGTTATAGAGCAGCATATTGAGAATATGCCTGAATTGGGTGAAAAGTGGTCATTGATGTCTCCTTTCATAAAGTGTACATGTATGCATCACATATGATTCTTTGTATCAAAGTTCATTTCATAGAATGTGAAGTTGTTTTACATATCCAAAGTAGGACCTTTGTTGTTTTTTTAATATAAAAGTTTACATACTAATTAAGTTGGACATACTTTATATCATTTTAAGATGCACATAAATTTACTATAGAATTTTAGAATTTGCAATAGAGAGAGAGAGAGAGAGAGAGAGAGAGAGAGAGAGAGAGAGAGAGAGAGAGAGAGAGAGAGAGAGAGAGAATTTGCCAAAGACTGCAATGAGAGAGAAAAAGGATGCACATAAATTTGCATCCTGAGGATTTACAGAGGGAGAGAGAGAGAGAGAGAGAGAGAGATATGCACATTTCCACTAGAAAGTGAGGGGGTGATTTATATTGTAATATCAAGGTAGTGAAGGTACTATATTATTATTATGTTTATTTTGTAGATCTATAGATTTTTTATATGTTTATATTTTATATGAGTCCAAGTAGGACGAATTTACTTTTTTTTTGTTACTGTATAATTTTTTTTTTACCATGTTTACATTCCTAGTCATTTTCCCATTATTTAAAACCAGGTGTTTCCATATACTTTTTTATCTTTGTTTAAAAGTCATTTTATTCATATAAATAATGACATAAAATGTTTGTCTCTGAATGTTACAGGAGAATTTAACAATCTAAAGGTCATAATTTCATGGTCTTCAAGCTAGATCCGCCCCACATTACACACGGTCAATATAGTGTGTAGATATCAGCTTTCACCGTAAGCGATTTCCCCCACAAAAAAATCATCTCTGCTAAAATAACAATTGGATATTAGCAAAACTAACTAATTTTGGTCATAAAACAGCATTAAATATTATTTTTGTTCTGTTTTGCACACGTTTATAAAGTGACTCGAAATAACCGGAAGTGACCCGCAATTCCTTAAATAAGGTCTTTTAACGTAACTGCGGGACAGTTTCTCGCACATGCGCACAAACGCTTCCGAGTGGAAAGCGTTATTAGAAACGGAAATGGTGAAATCTTGTTGTGTTTACAAGTGTCGAAACGTTTGTAATGGGGATTCCAGGTCAAAGGGTGTCAGTTTCTTTCGGTTTCCCAAGAACAAAAGAAAAAGAAGAGCTTGGATAAAAGCTGTGAACAGAGACGAATGGATGCCAAACGAGCATACCTGGATCTGCTCTGAACATTTTATTGATGGATGGCACGGAGATGAACCGAGCGATGACAATTATGCCCCAACAATTTTTGCATATAAACAGAAACGATCAGAAGGGGATTTTAACAGGGAACAGAGAAGACTTGATCGAGAAACAACCAGGGTATCTACTTCTGAATTTCACAATAATGATTTTTGAAATCTTATAATCATGATAAATGAAAGGGTAAAAAAAATTAAACATTTAGGTTAATTATGTTTGACAGGTCCAGCACAATACCCTGATAAAGGTATATATATATAGCTAGATAAAGCTATATAGCGTTATCAAGGTATTACAAATACCTTGATCAAGGTATTTTATGTCATGAAAATTAATAAAATATTATTCAAAAATCTGAATACTGAAAGTCGAGTTCTGAATTGTTGTCAATGTGTCCACTTGTGCATGAAAAGCACTCTGGTATCAAAAAGGAAGCACAAAATAATGTCTCATCACACAACACATTTTATACTGAATTGTTTGTGTCTGAGTACTTTACATCCATGGGTGAATTTACTGACAACAACTCAGAACTCGACTTTCATTATTTGATTTTTAAAGATTTTTTTTTTTGAATTTTCATGACATTAAATACCTTGATACCTTGATAAAGGTATTTCTAATACCTACAGAGGCTGACAAATAGATTATTAAGGCACTTGCCCAAGGGCAATTACATGGTCAAAATTGACTAGCCCTACCTGAATTTTTGCCTGCCCTACCATTAGCATATACTGTATTTAAAAATATTTCAAAAAAGAGAAAGACAAATACAGAGTAAAATATTGGTATACATATTGATTTTATTTTTGATAATAAATTATTGATTAAGTCACTTGCCCACGGGCAAATGGTTGATAAAATTTTACTTGCCCATGCAATCCTAAAATTCACTAGTAGCCCCGGGCGTCAGGCAATGGGATTTGTCATCCCTGACCTGGATAAAGCTATATACCTTTATCAGGGTATTGTGCTGAATCTGTTTGATATGAGGTACAACTATATAGAGGTCCATCGACGTCAGACATGATTTTTTCCCAGATCTCATGAATCTTATTCACAAAATTTTGCACATGATTCATAAATTACAGATATTTCCTTGTTTAATTCATAATTATACATGTAGGCCTATAAAATATGCACTACTTTTTTTAACAAGGAAAAACAGTGTTCAGAAAGGATAAACAGGGAGAGAGAATGTGCTAATTTAGAGTTTTCTCTGCTTGCGCATGGTTCCTACTGTAGAACAGATGAATCTGGTGATCACAGTACAGATGCAAGTGCTTTAATCAGTGCCTGTGGTCATGATGAAAATGGACCAACAGATGATGTTGACATTAAAATGACTTGTGATGCAGGTATATCATGAATGAATTGATTAACAGTAAACTGTAGATTTTATTTGCAATATACATCTTTAGCAAGATACGTACCAGTATGTCAATTTCAATATCAATATAAAATATACAGTAAATTAAAATTTGTAAAATGTAAATATTTTTTTTTTCATTCTTCTATAATTAAATTATTGATGATATGAAACATTTAAAGGTGTACAGTGTGAAGATGACCCCCTCCTGCAAGAAAACAGGAACCTATTGAGGCTAGGCAAAATGCTCTTATATACACTGTAGAGTCATCAATCTGAAATTTTTTGAAATAAATTATTTTAAATATTTTGTCATTTTTGGAAAAAAAATTACAATGAATAAATATATAATATAATAATTGTTTTTGATGTCCAATTCCTGTTGTCTAGTCAAAGAGCCATAGCGCATTTGATAGTCACTTTCGCCTATTCTAGTAGTGATTTTTTAAATACATTTTTTCACCAAAATTTTGCCATATTATGTTAGTTTATACATGCTTTAAAGCAATCACACAAAAATAATATTTATATATTAAAAGTTTGCTCATATGATAGATATAAAAATCCTTCAGTTTATATGGAGAATATAATAAGAATTATTAGGTATCCCCCTAAACAGTGACAACTGTAGCTTAAGACCACCCTTAACCAGCAAAATAACTTCTTTATTAATGTTTTTATTTGGACATGACTGCTCTTCATTACATTTAGACAATTTTGGTTAAAGGTGGTTTTCATATTGAAAATGTTGAACTATTCTTATCACCTAAAGTCATAATTGCTAGCTTCTTTTATTTTTTTTTTCATAATTTTCTAAATATCTTGTTTAGAATAAGGGTATTGAACAAATAAAATGATTGTCATATAACAAATGTGAAACTATGAAAATATAACATTGGTCTACAAATGATTACATGCATGTAAGTGCATCTTGAATTGAAAAGGTACATGTTTAGATCTATAATTAGAAACAGGTTATTTCCTTTTTAATACTTTGGTCAGCCGTAACGCAGCTATGGCTCTTTGTAAGTTGCATGTTGCTCTTGAAAAAGATTTTTTTTAACAAAGACTGGGTTTTCATATAATATTATCAACTTACTCGTGCAATACACATATCCTGGACATCACCAGCATCAAAATGCTTCACAGACTTATCTAGTCCTTTGAAGTTTTGCATTTGGATGCCTTGATCCCCCTGCCTGCGCCTGGTTATCATAAAATCATAGACTGTAGAAAACGAAATGATGGGAGGTTTAAGATCGTTGGTAATTATCTGATAATGAACTGAATTAAAGGGGGCAAGTTTTCCTTGAATTGAACGTCGGTGGGATTAACAGAGGATGGTAATTGCACAACTGGAGTTAATAGTTCTGATGGCGTTTGGCGAGACAATATATCACATATGAGATCATCCTTCTTTCTTTTTGTTGAATTGATCCCCAGATCAGCTGCAATGGTGCGTAATATACTAACATTTGTTTTTTTCAAGTTTTCGCGGGTCGCCATACTCGTTGCCAATGTAAACAAGGTAACGATAAACAGGAAATGTTTGTCACTCGTACATGAATTGATATAAATAACAAAAAACATATTACAAACCAATTTTATTCAGTTTAATAAGCAAATATCAATTAAACAAAACTGTACGACGATTTTTTTTCAAAATACTTTTGACGAAAATGAAGCGTGGAATGGTGCGCAGAACGACTCGTGTTTTATCCACTCGGAAGTACTTCTGCGCATGTCTGCATATATTATTAAAAAGGTCTATTGGAGGTCTAGATAAAGCTCCCACTGCGGTCGTTTTATCAAAGATAATCGCAATTTGGTTCATAAGTCTTTTCAATCAAACAATAAACTTCTTAATAATACCCAGGAACCATTAATAATCTTGTTTGTTTAATTAATTGCAGTAGAAATGTAAAAAGTGACCCGAAATACCCTAAATGACTGTACCTAAATCAACAGTTATAGACGTTTGTAAAAAATTTTGTGACACGGGATCCGGTCCTACTAAACAGAGTACGATAGAGTACGATAGAGTACGCTAGTAATATTTTATAATTTAATGCAATTAGATTACTTTTTATATGTTTTTCTACTTTAGTTTAACATATTGAATACTGTAGAAGTGGAAAACATTACGGTGTTTTTAATTTCACTATGTTCACGATTTAAGAATTTTCCGCGAACTTTAAACCATCGTGATTATTATTTTACGTCATTTCTTCCTATATACAGTCATAGTACCTGAATATTTACAAACCATTCTCCGTGAAATTTTAACCACCGTGAAATGTAACTTTCTAACAAACCGTGAAATTTTAGACACGTGAATATAAAGACGTCTACAGTATATATTAAAAAAAACATTGTATGTTTTCTGTATTTTAGGAGTTATTTCAATTTTTGATTTCAGGTTACGGTTGATTGTTTGATCGTTTGATCCCGATCTAATTTAACTGAAACGTTAAAATGTCTCATTGAGAATGTGAAAAATATTTACACATGCAATTAATTTAATATTATTAGATAAAATTTAGATGCAAGTCTTTAGTAAGAAAGTCTGAAACAATATAGTAATCGAGATTGGGGTATTAGCTATAGGTATACCGTAATCTTTAATGCGTTTAATTTTGGATGTTATTTCGTGTCAAAATATCGCTAAAAACAAATATTTGAAACAAATATTGGAAAATAAGTTTATAATAATGTTTAATCAAGTTGTACATACATAGATAAACAATTGAATTGTATTAAATAACATAATTTTTCTAGCGTACTCTAAAGTACTCTATCGTACTCTATCGTACTCTGTTTAGTAGTACCCCACGGGATCTGTTGAAAACAAACCCAGAAGCGGCCGACCTCCAAAAATCGGGCCCCGTGACTATCGGAAGTTAGAGAGGATTGTGAAAACAAATCGTAGATGTTCACTTTCTGATATTACCGCAAAATTTAACGAGGAAAGACCAGAACCAGTTAGTAAAAGGACAGTACAGCATAATTTACACAAAAATAACTACCGGAGAAGTATTTCTAAGAAGAAACTGGTTATTAAAGAGGTGAATCGTAAGAAGCGGCTCGCTTGGTGTCGGGGAAAAGACGATGGTCAGTAAAGGACTGGAAGCGTGTTTTTTTTTCAGATGAGAGTAAAATAATGGGTCATGATGAAAGGATAAGAATTTGGAGAAAAAAGGACGAAGGATGGAGGCCGGACCTTGTTCAGCAGAGGACACCTCAAGCGAAATACGAAGTTATGATATGGGGGTGCATTTGCAGGGAGGGTGTTGGAACGATGACGCCAGTAGAAGGAAATATCAATGCTGTTAAATACCAAGATATCTTAGAGGAAAACCTATGGCCTGTTCTCGCTAGACATTTTTCTCAAAACGGCTATTATTTTCAGGATGACAACGCACCCGTCCACCGAGCCAGGTCAACTCAAGAGTATGTAGCTAGAAATCGAATTAACTGTTTAAGTTGGCCTGCTCAATCACCAGACTTGAATATAATAGAGAATGTTTGGTTACACATAAAAAGAAAACTTCAGTCACGCACTGCTGCAATAAAATCGAAAGACAATTTGATCGAGGAAATTCGGCGCATATGGACCAGCATCACGCCTGCTTACATTAAAAGCTTGTATGGCTCCATTCCAAAGCGGATTCTAAATGTAATCAGACTCAAAGGACACCTCACGAAGTATTAAATCGTAAGTAGTTGATTGTTTTAATTTTCAAAGCATTTTCGTTGAAAATTTAGCTTGTAGATTTTTTCATACTACCGTTGTAAGTGTAAACACGCCGCCATTTTGACCGAATACTTTTTGCACGTGTCTGTATTTTTAGCATTTCACACTGTTTTTGCACATGCTCCTGTGTAAAAATAAGCATATAAAGGTATTGTTTTTAATACCTAAAGTGGTCAGAAAAGAAATGTCAAAGTTTTGAAAATTTCACATAAAGACTTTTCGGACATAGGTCCCCCCTTAATTGAAATACAATGACTCACAGAGATGTTTGTAAAACAGATAATTGATTAATTATAATCAAGCTGAAATTGTTTACGATTGTGATTTAACGGTAAACATTAGAAGACCGAAAGTTAATTTGATGATGGCGACGCGTGTCAAACAAGGTCAAAAGAGATATACACAGGGACAAGTAGCTAAATGTCAATCAATTTCAAGTACCCAATGATGGACCTTAAATTATTTGATTGACAGGGAGATACAGACCAGGTAAATCTGAGGGCGGTGCTTATTATCTCGGGCTTTAATGAGAAAGAACTATATGCGGTATATTGCATATACATGTATTTGCCCCCACAAAAGTCAAATTTTGAAAACTTCCTGAAATGTGCTGAATTCAATAAATTGTATGAGAAATATAAATTAACAGAAAATATTATAGTGTCAAAGCAGTGTATTCACAATTTTTGATTTTATGACGTCACAAACAAGTCCGATTTTATATCCTTTTTCAGAAAGAGGACAAAATTTCAACAATTTTAGCTTTAAAATTTATAGAGGGCAAGTTTGTTCAGGAACAATATTGACATATTTCATTGATATTATCATTACACACATTATTATAATATTAAAATATTGATCCTGAACACACATGCGCTTGGTGACTTTTACTCAAAATATCGACAAAATATGTACATTTTTCTGTAAAATTCATTAAAAAAATGAAATTTATGTCATGTTTGTGACGTCATTATGTACATATGGCGTCATTAATTATGAAAATATTCAAAATTCAGTGCTTTGAAGTCAGCATATTCTCCCCTGTTTAAGAACTTAATTAAATATATCTCCATCAAAGTTTGATTTGGGGGGCAAATATTGGTTATTACCAAATAAAGTTCTTTGTGAATGTTAGGTTGTACTTTTATCAATTTGAATACTGTACAATAGAAAATAAATTGTACATCAAATAAATTCTGATCAGAATTCAACACTGTTCAGTAAGTGTGAAAAATAATGCTTTTGACAACTTTTTTTTAGCTCACCTGAGCGGAAGCTCAAGTGAGCTTTCTAATCGCATTTTGTAGTCTATCCATCCGTCTGTCTAGCTGTCCGTCTGTCTGTAAACTTCGCACATTTTAGACTTCTCAAGAACCACTGGGCCAATTTTGACCAAACTTGGTACAAAGCATCCATGGGTGAAGGGAATATAAATGGTTAAAATGATGCCATTGGGCCAAGTCCCCTCACAA